CATGTAGTTACTAACTTTAAAACTACTAATAAAGATATGAGCAAGGCCTCACCTTAATACCAAAAAAAAAAAGATAATATAATAGTAAATAACTGTAATAAAATAAAAATTATTATATTTATATAAATAAATTATAACTATAAATATTAATTATAATTATAGCATATTATTAAAGTTTAAATTATATAAATAAAATATAAGTAATTTTAAAATTTTATTTTAAAAATAAGAGTTTTAAGTTTGATATATAATATAAAAAACTATTAATTTCTATTTTATCAAATTTTAAAAATATATAAATATTAATACAAAAATATATATATATATAAATACAAAAAGTTTAAATAATAATTTTTTAGTTAGATATATAAATAAATACAAATTATTAATTTTTTTAATAATTACTTATATATATCAAACTTTATTACAAAAATTAATTATTATTTAATATATTTTTTTTTTGATGTTGAGGTGACTTCTTTAGTTTTTTGACTTTTATTAATAATTTATTGGTAATGTAATTATATGAACTATTACAGAAAAGAATACAATTAGTTACATATATAACTTTTTTATATTACCTATTTAAGAAGTTCACCCAAAGGTTTTTTATTAACTGTTATACCTAACATTCCTACTTAGATGTTTCATTTTTAAACTCTCTAAATCTGTAACTTGTGCTAACTTACTGTATCATACTCAGATGTCTAGATTATTATCTTAATCTTAGGATTAATTTATGCTTAAGATAAACCTTTCAGAACCTTTTGTATTTATTTTTTATAACTAATCTAGATATTATTATAGCAGAATTAACACTTGCAATCAGAGTTATATCATTTAATCACTGTGCTTTTGTAGAGTTTATACAAATCCTAGCATCTACTTCATTGCATAACTTTAATACTTTAGTATACCTTTGCTTTTTGTTTAGTCTTTTTATCAAACTTCTAATTCAAATAGCCTATGCATAACTATGATCAGTTTATTAATATATCAGGTCAGTCTAATATTTTTTTCCTTTAATTCATTCTAATAATCTGATTGATAGTATCTTTGAGACTTCTAATACAAAGATTCTTGCCTATTTGACTACTATGATTAAGTATTATAATCTTAGTATTTGTTTTCTTAGGCTAGTCTTTACAATAAAACCATCAAAGATTTGGTTACCTCTCTACTTAGGCTTTTCAAATAGACTTCATATTATACAATTTTAACAGATTTATATAGTTACAAGAACTTATCTAGTGTTTGCACTGTTCAATTTGTTGATTTGCATTCCTTTATATAACTTATTACACAGATGCCTTATGACTTGCCAGTCATGTTGATGCAATTACTATTACAAATATTCTAACTCAATTATTAATAACAGTTGCTATAATATAAATATTATATAAGTGATTATCCAAATTTTTGCTGTTAATAGGATTTGAACATCCAACTTACTACTTGAGAAGTTGACAATCTGACCACTTCACTAGGTTGTCAACTTTTTATTATTTAATATTTATTAAATAAACTATTTTTAAATATCTAAGTAAAATTGTTTTAAATATAATTTTATAATTAAATAGTTTAGTAATATATTTTTAAATTTTTTATTACCAAAATATTTTTATTAAATATAAATTATTTTAAAATTATATTAAGTAAATTACTTTTATTTTATAACAAATAGAAAAAGCTTATTTACAGCTTTATTTTGATATATTAATTATTAAAACAACTAAAAACTAATTAATTTATTAATAAAATATATTGAGATTTTCTTGCAAAATTTTATAATTTTTATTTTTACAATTTTTTAATCTTTTAAAAAATTATTTTTAGTTTATCTTACTTAACCTTATTTAAACAAAATTATTAATTAATATTATACAATTTATTAGTTAAAAATTTACATTTCTCTAATTTTATACAACTTATTTGTTTAATATTAATCTTAATTTACAAATAGATTTGCAATATCTTTGTATTAATTTTTTATTTAGTATTTTCTATATTTATTATATACTTTTAATTGTCATATCTCTTTATTCATTATATTTATTATTTGCTATATTTTTTTATTTGTCATATCTTATATTTTTCGGATTTTTTTATATTATAAATTTTTGTTATATACTTTATTTTTAATTTTTAAACAAAAAAATACCAATTTTTATTAATCAAAAACCTAATTAATTTAATCTTAATTATTTTTTAATTAAATATAAAAATCATTTCAATATCTTGATTAAAAAAATAACCTTTAATAAATTAATATAATTTAATTTAATATTTATTTAATCTCATTTTATATTACAAATAAAATTTATTATTTTAAATTATCTTATTAACTTTTTGTTATCTAATATCTTTATAATACATGTTATTTTTTTTATTTACTTTTCAACATCATTATCATTTTATAATATTATGTAATAGAAGACTGTTTATAAACAAAACCTTAAGTACTATTTCATATATGTATACTTCACTTAAAGACAGTTTTAAAGTAGAAAATAGTAATATATAGTAATAGTAAAATATAACATTAAAGTTTCTAATTAATTTACAAAAATTTCTAATAATTTCTATATAATTAAACATTAGGTTTTTAAAAATATACTTGGGTAAAGTTTTATCTGAAAAATTAAATAAATTAAAGTCACAATGCTAGGTGAGTTTATTATTAATTAATAGTAATATAAAATAAACCTATTGGCTCGCAGCTTCACGGTAAACTCCAAGCTTTGGGCCGAGCCGTTGCATTATTAGAAGGCCTGGAGCTGAGTCATTAATTGACTCGGCTCAGCTCGAGCCGTTCGTATCACTACACATAGGTATTCTGTACCAGGTTATGTCGATCATGTGGCGCAGGTAAATTTTTTGAAGTTTATTAATGTTAGGGTTAGCATTTTGAATAAAGTTAAAAAGGTTAAATGGTTACATAGTAAAATCGCCAAAGAAAAACTTTTTATTATTGCACTAATGATGGTTTTATATGTAAACTTTGATAAATAGACGATTTTTGACAAAACGAATGGTTGTTTTGAAATTTCGTGATTGTGTTACGTTACATCTGATCTTGAAATCTGATTCGCAGCTCGACATAACCTGAATTATATATAAAATTTATGACATAAAGGGTGACGTATAAAAATAATACCTTTGACCTTCTAAATGTTTGCATCTTTACTCAAAATCCTACTATGAAAAAAAACTTAAGAAAAAATGTTCACCGTGAAAATTTTACTATAAACTATACTTTATTATTACCTCCAACCTTTACCCTTACCCTAATATTAAAATGTTATATTAAACTTTATCCTTTCGAACTTTTTAAATAACCAAATATAACTTTGTACGCCACACTATAATTAGGAATCTATCTCTACATACGTATATGCTACGTACGTAAATACAAACTTTCCTTTTATAATTCATTAGTAATATTTTTTTTTACCTAAATAAAGTAATTTCTCGTACCAGGTAATACAAAAAAATATGCTTTTTTGCATAAACACTATGAAGATCATATCAAAAACGTAATTTGGAAACATTTTGTAATTTACCGAAACACATTCTTTTTGTTAGGTTATTTTAGAATGCGGCGAAGTATATAAGAAAAAATTCAATATAAGCTTTTGCTTTCAGACTTTAATCCCTTCAAAATTTTGCGTTAAAGACAAACAGTCACTGTAAAAACCTTTTTTCAAATTCATCTATAACGGATCAAGACTATATTCCAATAATTGAAAACTTTATAAAAGTCACCACTGTCATCTTCGAGGTTGACCCTTTTGTATATAAAATAATGCCTCGACAAAAAACACGTACTCATGCGACCTTAGCATGCAAACATTGTCAACGGAAACATGAAAGATGCGAAAAACTTCCTGGGGAAGATATTTGTACAGGCTGTAGAAAATTAAATCGATTCTGCATTTCTTTACCTGGCAACAAACGTGGACCAAAGCCTCGCAGACAAAATCTCGGGGTTGTAAACCCCAGCCTTTTTTCAAATGTTAATCCTTGCAGAGTAACCCAAACCCAACATTCACACTCAGTGTCAAGAGCATCTTACATCCAGTATCAATTCACGCCTGGTATCGAAAACTCTTCATGCCTGACACCAGAAGTTTGCACTCAGTATCAACTCATGCCCAGTGTCGAGATCTATCTGATACCAGGAATGTATCAAGAGCAACTTACACCAAGTAGTTTGGATCACTTATACCCAGTATCGGGAACTACTGAAGTATTCCAAAATACTCTCACTAATCAATCCTCCTCAACATCTTTTCACTCATACTCTTTTGCATATGAAGAATCCGCGTTAAATATTGATCGTCCAACTATTATTGATCCTTCAACTATTAATTTGACATCATTATCTAATCCTTTTAATTACATCGTTTCGGCTAAATATTCAAACACGTAATTATTTGAATCACTTGTCATATACTGAAAATCTCCGTTATATAACCATTATAAATTATTTATATATTAAAAATTCGGTTCTTTGCAATTTGTTCGTTAAACCGGTAAATCCGGTCGAAGGGTGTCCGTTATATCGGTAGTTGACATAATATATATATTTTTTTCGATTGATATATATATATTTTTGGTCATATTTTTTATTTTTATTTTGGTACATCTCTTCGGAGCATTCTTTTTGTTGGATCATCCTCTTTTTTTCGGTAAATCACGAAAATATTTCCATTTTCATCATAAACATTTTATTTATCGTAGACATTTTTCATCGCATGCATTTTTTTTATAAACTATTTCTTTTCCGTCTTAAATATGAATATATTTATTAGAAACAACCATTTTTATTACAAACTCAACCATTTTTTTTCGTTACGACTTATATAACAAATTTCTCTTTTGTTATAGTATGTTTTTTTTTCATTGCCAAAAAATTTCTCATTATGAACTTTTTTTATTACGAGCGTTTTTTGCTACAGTAATTATATTTTTAAAATAACAAAATAGCATCATATTCTAAGTGTAAATACTTATCCGAATCTATGTGAATTAAAAATTTTTAAGATATATGAATAATATGATAGTAAAATGTTAATGGGGTTTCATAAATTTACAACAAATGATTACTGTAAAGTATACTTTTGATTCATTATGATGCTATATTTTCTAGTACAAAT